TAAGTCCTTAGCAGGAATTTCCTTAATACTTTTTTTAGTGAAAGGGATTTTAATGGTTGTCATAATATTGGTTAATTAACATTATTTTACATTTTATTTCAACTCAACCCCCCACTTCCCCAATTTCTCTCTTAACTCCTCAACAAAAACTCTTCAATATTTAAATTGGTGTTATAATCATTTTCTGTATATTAACGTCAAACCCCCCCTCTCCTCCTACCAATAGCCTACTTCCTAAAATTAATTAAGAGTATGTTTAAAGACTAGTTGGAAGGAGGAGCCTCCTACACAATGAGCCTAGGGCGTGTTTTTCATTCGCCCCACCATTAGCTTCTCAGGTATGATACGCTAACTGGTACTTCGGGTCGTAGGTGATTAACCTAGACTTCTCCGATTTCTAACTTTCTTTCATATTCCATTGAGTTTTTTTGTGTTGGGTAGTAGTAAAATACTTTCCCAAAATAAGTGTTAATTAAAAAAGGACAAAAATCCCCCCTAATTAATACCTATTTTGGGAACTATTCCGTGGTGTTGTAATCATTTTCTGTCAAGGTGGTTCTTTCACCGGAATATATAAGGTTTCTTTAATGGTGTTATAATCATTTTCTGTAAGGTTTTTTGGCTTGGTTTTTAACTGGATAAAGTGTTCTTTAATCGTTAAGTATTCAATACCGCTTTTTTCTTGTAAATAAGTAAAGAACTCTTGCGGATTAGTCCAAATCTTATTATTTAAAGGAAAAAAAGTCCCTCAGGCTTTATACCGATAATAACCTAAAAACTGACCACTTTTATCATAATAAGCCTGATTAGGCAACATGACTTCCCCACTTAGTTTAGCATCGCCTATTTTTTGGTTTTGGTAGTAAAGAGTGCCAGTTTTTAAACCTCCCAAACTTCTAACTGGAACCGGTATCCTAATATGACCTTTGGGACTAGTAATATATCCACACCTGAATAATTTAGCTAATTTAGTCCACTTTTTACAGTCAATATCTAATCAGATAATCGCACAGTTCTTTCAATTATCCTCATAAATCCGAACACAACCTCTTTCTAAGTTATTAAGGTCTATTTTGGGTTTATATCAGTAGTTATCAGCATTTCAATTCTTAATAATGGGGTGTTTAAGTTTAGTTGGCACCGGAACAAATGAGCGGTGATTAACTAATAACTTTAAAAGTTGTTTTTGTTTGGTTTGTTGAAATTCAGAAAGAGGTTTAGGGGGTTGGTTGGATTTTAGTTTAGCACGATATTTCTTTTGTGCTAGTAGATATTTTTCTTTGTTTTTGGTGTAATAAGAGACAAAATAACCCTCTTTGTGTTTGCTTTTTTTTAGTAAATGAGTAGCAGTTAATTTTGCTTCTCGAACATCTGCGAGGTTCGACATAGTAATTAGTTAGTTTAGCCCTAGCTAGTTCCGTCGAACCTCGCGAGAACGAAGAACTAAACTAGAACCCTTAGCCTATTCAGCAACTAGGGCTAAACTGACAATCTATATTATAATTTTAATAATTTTATTCTCTCCCTAGGCTTATACTCCCCTTCACCTTTTTCATTAAATCCATACTGGTTAGGTTTAGTTTTTCCATAAGCGTATTTAACAAAAGAAGAATTAACTAATTTTTTATGAAACTTTAAGTATTCTTGATATCAAGGATTATAATCATGTCCCTCTCATGCTTGATATCTGTCAACTATTTTCTGATACTCCTCATAGTAATTAACTAATTCGTATTCTTCTACTAAACGAGTTTCATATTTGTCCCTTAATTCATACATTTTCTTAATTATCTTTCTTTCGGTTAAAGCAAATTTTTTCTCAAAAGCGGTAATATGTCCGGCTTCATGAGGATTAGTCTCAAAAAACTCCTTTTTGCTTCGTAAAGTATACCAAGGAATATAAATTATTTGCTTAATGTCATCCGTTCAACCTCATTTTCAATTGTTTGATAGAAGAGGGGTGGTAGCGGGAAAAACAACTTTTATTTTTCTTTTAGGAAAACAACTAGCAATCATTTTTTCAGTTATTTTTTTGTGTTCTGCTTCTAGTTTTTGAGCTAGACAAGTAGCAAGACATTTTGCTCCTTTGTTAGGAATAAATATTGACTTACAACTAGGACAATTCTTTACTAATTTTCCTTTCTTTTCATCTCAAAAATACATCTATTTCTTATTGTTAATTACTAAATACTTTATGCGAGCTTTGTCTAAGGAATTCACTAATTCTTTTACATTTTTGGAAGAAGATTTAGCCTTTAAATTAGTTTCCGAACTGTAAATTTCATAACCAACTTTTTCTTTTTCTAGTATTTTTTTTACTTTTTCGGTTTGATTAGTTTTGATTAGAATTAGAGAGCTAAGGTTGTTTCCAATTGTCTCTGTCTCTTTTTTATTATTCCTTTTCATAAATAAATAAATAATTTTATATTTCCAAAGGCATCGCGAGTTCTTCCGTGTGGTTTACTAATTCATCCAAAGCAATTTTATCAATATGACAAAACAGAATATACTCGGTTTTGGCTTGATCTATTCCCAATTTTTTACTTAATTCCTTTTCAGTTAAATTATTAATCCTTTCATAATATCTAATTTTAATCGTTATTTTAACTAAACGGATAACAGTTCCTCACCCATAATCAATCTGAATTATTATCCTCAAATCAAAAAGTTAGATGATAAAACTTATTTCGGTAAGGAACATATTCACGAATAAAAACTTCCCGATTGCCATATTTTTTATGAAACCTCATTCTTTTCTTTCCATTGAGTTCTTTGGTTAAGATATTTAAAACTAATTCTTTGGTCATTCACTCTCTCCCTTTTTTTCTTCAAGGATGGTCGGTAATGGTAATTCGCTTAATAACTCTTTTTTTAAAAGTAAATTCGAATAGGCAGAGATAAGTTCATTGTTGCTCTTGGTGAACCTCACTAAATTTATCTTTTTCTAACTTAAACAGTTCGGGCATGTAAGTTATCTTTTTTGGGTTCTACAACTAATTTTATTTCACTTGGCAAAAATAGTTTACTAGACACATTCATTAAGTAATCCAAAGTAAATTTGCTTATTCGGCAAAATAAAATGTCTTCTAGTTCAGTTTGAGTTAAATGGAGTTTTCTAATCATTACTTCATCGGATAATTTGTTATCCTCCTGATAACCTAATATCTTTTCACAGAGTTCATATTTAACCTTTTCCGAAGGGGTAGGGTTTTCCGGACAAGCCCAAGAACCTTGACCGATATTCTTAGGGTCTTCGGCTTCTTGTAATATTTTCTCAAATTCTTTATCTCTTGGCATGATATTATATCTAATTTTAAACATACCTCCTCCTCCGATACTCCATTCGCTTTTACAAAAGCAAATTAGATATATCCTCGGCGGATATATTCCCTCCACTTCTTTTTCTGCCAATCCACCATCCGCCCATAAAACTTTTTCCCAATACACTCTAAACACAATATCTTATAACTACTCCCAATCCCTCAGAAGTTAGGGTTATTTCGGTTTTTAATCTTTCCAGTCTTTCCTGCTCCTCTTAATTCTTTACTACACAAATAACAACTAGCTCAATCATAAGGACAATTAGGCTTCACCGGCTCCTCAGTTCTCTTACTCCTCTTCCTAGTCAGTTCGCAACCGATTATATTTCTACTAACTGGCAAACACAACTTCGGACATAATACATGCTCTCTCTCATGCTCCTTACAATATCACTTCCCCCAAGCTTCCCAGCCTAAATTAAGGATATTCAAATGTCCATAGTCGCAAAGTTCAAGGTCTAATCTCTTAATATCTTTAATTCGTAGGTGTTCCTCCCAAGTTAGTTTAGTTGTCATAATTACTCATATTCCCCTTACTTAAAAAAAGTAGCAAAAAAATTTCCTTTTAAGCCTATCATTCCCTCACTTTTTGAAGGCTCTATTATATGTTTTTTTCCTATATGTTTAATTACTCTTTCCATTTAATTCTTACCCTTTATTTACAAATTATCATGTATACCTATATTTTAATGATTTTTGTGTGGTTTTCCCTCTATTGTGGTCAATTTAAAAAATGGTAGGGCGATTGCCCTAGGGATTGGGGGGTAAAAATGGGGGTTTTTGGGAGAAATTAGACCTAGAAAATGGTTTTTCTTTGGTTCTTTCTTTAAAGACTGCCAGCCAAAAGGAGACTTTTGGACTGGCTGATTAACCTTTTTAAGTCTG